TCCAAGAGGGCCCCATGAATGCCCAAGGGGCCTCCAAGACGGCCCCAAGAGGGCCCCAAGACGGTCCAAGAGACCTCGAAGACGGCCCCGAAGCGCCCCAAGAGGACCCCAAGTCGGTTCAGAGAGGCCCCCAAGACGGCTCCCGACGGCGTCAGACGTGCCAGGAACCCACCAAGATGGCCGAAGTTAGCTGGAAGCTGGCCTAAGACGGCCCAAGAGGCCTCCAAGAGGGCCTCCAGGAAAGCCAGAAAAGGCCAAAAACACTGATTGTCCTGAAATGTTTGAAGGATTTTGACAGTTGCTTCTTTTCGGCCTTCCGACGGACCGAGACGGCCCAAGAGCCCTCAAAGATCGCCCAAAGGTCGCCCAAGAGGTCTCCAAGATGGTTCCAGGAAGGCCCAAGAGGCCCCCAAGACGGCCCCAAGAGGTCTCCAAGACGGCCCAGGAGGCCTTCAACACGCCCAAGATGGCCTCCAAGACGATCCCGAAGCGCCCCAAGAGGGCCCCAAGCTGGTTCAGAGAGGCCCCAAAGACGGCTCCCGACGGCGTCAGACAGGCCAGGAACACCCTAAGACGGCCAATGAGGCCCGCGAGAAGTCCCAAGAAGGCCCCAAGAGGCCCTCAAGAGGCTCCAAGAGAGCCCAAGATAGCACCAACATGGCCTCCAAGACGGTTCCAAGATGGCCTCATCGAGCCCAAGAGTACCTCAAGAGGCTCCGAAGAGGCATCCTCCCCCTTCTCCGTTTTCCTCCTTCTCCCCCTCTTCCTCTCCCTCCCCCACGTGTTCCCCGAAGGATTTCCAAACCGACTCGGGGAACACATGCTCCGATAGCCTCGCCCCCCAAGATGCCTTCAAGACGGCCCAAGATGCCTCCAAGACGGCCTGGCATGGCGTCAATATTGCCCAAGACGGCCCAAGAGGCCCCCAAGGAACCTCCAAGACGGCCCAAGAGGCCTCCAAGAGGTCCTCCAGGGGGGCCCGAAGAGACCAAAATCATCAATTTCCCCTAAGTGTTTCAAGGATGTTGGCATTTGCTTCTTCTCGCCATTCCGACGGCTCAAGACGGCCCGATAGGCTCTTCCTCTTCCTCATCATCTTCATTCTCCCCCACGTGTTCCCCGAAAGCTTTCCAAACCGATTCGGGGAACACATGGTCCGATAGCTTGGCAGGCCTCTGGCCACAACGTTCGGCCACATAGGCGCTTCCGAAAGGGCAGGGGTCGGCGGTGATTCGCCGTAAGCGTCTTCGATATAAATACAAGCATAAGTCACGCAGCACTCGGAAGCCGCAAAAGCGACTCTCCCCCAACGGTCGGCGGTGCGGTGTAAGCCAAAGAACATACCATTAGATCAACCCATGCGCAACGGAACAAATACCACAACAATAGATTACAATGCGCGGAGGGGTCCGGTTAACCGTGGCCCCAGAGGGGCAGAATTGAATGAATATCTTGTCGGAAATGGGATCGCCGGATGCACCCATAGGATGCAGTCCAGCGCACGGAGCGTCCGCGCAGCGGCCACGAGAGCCCATCGAGCAAACATCTCAAAAACCAGCCAACGCACGGGGCGGCCACGAGGCAGCCATGGGCGCCCACCAGGCGAAAACCCAGAACGCCCAGCCACTGATCGACACAACTCCAGGAGTAGACGCAGAGCGGAGGTCGAACCTCAATGCTGGAGATGCCTGATCCTCTTGGTCCGACTCCGTTACGTCTGCTCCGGCTTGTCCTCCTCCTTCGCATATTCCACGCCCTCCTCTTCATGAACATAATCCAGATCATCCTGCCGCCGCCGCTACTCCTCCTCCCCTCCTCCGTGCCTGATCATCCACCTGCTTGTCCAGCTGCTGCTGTCCCTCATCCTGTTCGCGTCTGGCGTACGCGAGCTACGTGAGCGCTTACAGAAGAGATATCCTACGATTCCTTCCACCGCCACCTCATCCTACCTCCTTCTACTCCTGTTGCTGCAGCTCCTCCTCATCATCAGTACTATTGTCTTTGTTCCCCTTGATATTGTCATCACCTCCTCCTCCTCGTCCGAGCTCCTCTCCCTTTCTCCCCCCCCTCTGCCCCTTCTTGAGCTCTTCCTTATTGTCGTTATGCTCCTCTTTATCACCCTCATCTTCCTCCTCCTCGTCGCACCTCCGTTTTGAGCTTCCTGTCCTCCTCATCCTTCCTGGCCTCATCCTCGTCCACCTCATCCTCCCCCTCCTCGTCACTGTCCAGCATCCTCCGATCTCGGCCAAGGCCCACCGAAAACTTGCGATAACAGTTGGGAGCCTCCGGCCACGTCCGAATAAGTCAGTCTCGGGCACACGCTAACACGGATTAGGGATTCGTGGATCTGGCGCGTGGGACCCGTCGCTAGTCCAAGCACTTTGATCCATGCTTGCGTTCCCTCGACAATAACCGTCTCTCGTTTTCTGAAAACATCCCCTCCATTATCCCTTCCGCATCCTCCTACCAAATGTCGAGCCGTTCGCGAGCTCTTGCCAGACGCCCGCGGCGTCTCGGCGCATCGACCCAACGCGAGCCTCGCACGCACGCCCTCCTCCGCCCTACTCCGACTCTCCCTCGCCTCCCCCTCGCCTCACTTCACCCTCTCACCTTCCCTTCTCCTCCTCTTCCTATTACCCTTCCCTCCTCCTCACATTAAACCCCGCTATTCCAACGCCTCCCCCTCGCCTCCGCTTCCCTCCCCCTCCTCCTCTTCCTCCTTCTTTTCCTCTTGCCCACCTCTCCTCCTCTCATTCCTCCCCCGCTACTCTTTCTCATCGCCCTCCCACTTCAGGTACCGAAACAGAATGTACATAGTTTGTTGAACGCCTCACGCTCGCGAGTCTGCCACGAAGAATACCTACAGCACTGTGCGAGGTGGCGCTTGCGCATATAGCTTCATGGCCATGATCCTGCCCCAAACTACAGCTAGTGGCCTTGGGGGTCACGAAATGATTCGGTGACAGACCGCGCGGTGACCTCGGAACCCCCAACTGCACGGTTCTGGGACCCTGGATGCCCCAGTCGCTCGAGGCGACCTCAGAGAACGACCCACGTCCCAAAACCGTGCGGGCACTCCTACCCCCCTCTGACTCACCACGCGGTGTCGTCACCGCACCGTTTGGGGGGGCCCCGATGGCCGTCAAGGTGGCGCCCTCCGTGTCCGTGGCGCTGCTCCACGGGCAGGGCGGCCAGACGTGCCGGGCCACCTGCCGACAGCCCGCCACGCCTCAGAGCTCTGTGCGCAGGGCGCAGGGATGCGCCCTCAGAAACTGAGGGGGTCATTGGGATCAGCACGGAGATGAGGTGAGGCCAAGCTCAGAGATGGTGATCTGTTTCGGGCAAGTCACTTCTGGACGCCCGACATGGGTACGGACAAACATGGGTTTGAGACCCAACAGCAAATTTTGTCCAAAACCGACAGCGGCCGCTGTTGGGCAGTCGGCCTTCTGTCTCTAATGGACAACGTACGCCGCGACGCCGACAACGGGCCCTTTTTATTCAGCAAGGCTACCATGAAGGTGTCTCAAGCAGTACAGAGAGTACCACATACTATGTCACAACTTGGCAAATATACATTTGCCATCGTGTGTACACGCACTGGATACTGCTAGGGGGATGAGGGTGGCCTCCTCGCCGCGCCGTGCGCCTGGCCTCGCGGTCGGCGAGGTCTAGAGCTGAAGCTTTCTCAGACGGGAGGGGGGGAGGTGGATTCAGCATCAGCTGTGACCAACACTTCTGGCGCCGACTGTCCGAGAGGTGTGATATACAGCGCAGCCTTTGCTTGAAACCTGTCTTGCGCACAAGGCAAATGCCACGTTCGTCGACATACAGTCGGGGGGACAACGGAGCTGGTGTTTCATTCTCTGATGCATCTGCAGAGCTTTGCCTGTGAGGAAGGCAGGGCGCTCAGGGCAGAGGCCACACACAAAGCGATCCCTGTTCAAAATCCGCTGGTCCTGTCAGCGTGTGTGAGGAGCTTGTCTACTCGAGTCGTCGTCTCCGTCAGTCGTCGTCTTCGTCGTCACCTTTCCCTGCACCCTCCTCCACAAGCTTGTCAGCGAGAGAAAAATCTAGCAATGTCCTCATCGAGTCGAAGGGAAGCCCTGACCTTTGATCCCTTTCCCGGCTAGGGGGAGGTCCTGGGAGGGGGGTAAGGAGGGGGGTCCCAGTGGAGGGGTAAAATACGCATCCCCCCCTGGGGGTCCAGGGGCCTCAGAAAGTAATTACCAAGACAGGCCAAGAGTGCCCCAAGAGGCACCCGAGACTGTCCAAGAGGGCCCCCTATCGCCAAACGATCGGTCCAAAACGCCTTCACGTCCTCCAGACTGCCCAGGAGGCCTCCAGAACGCCCCAAGAAGCCTCCAAGAGCACTCCCGGGAGGGCCCCAAGAGGCCAAGTTCATTGATTTCCAGTCGGTTTTGTTTTCAGATTTGGGCGTTCTCGCCTTTTCCACTTCCCGCCGTTCCAAGACGACGCAAGAAGCTCCCAAGATCGCCCCAAGACGGCCCAAGAGGCATCCAAGAGGGCCCCCAAATAACCCAACAAGACCCAAAGACAGCCCCAAACGCCTCCAAGACGGCCCAGGAAGCCCCCAATACGGCTCCAAGAGCGTGCCCAGACGGGGACCCGAACGGACATTTCGAGCCCTGCCCCGAGAGGCTCCCAGGAGGCCCCAAGAGGTTCCCAAGAGGCCCCAAGAGGCCCATCCCCAGGACGCCCGAAGAGGTCCCGAAGAGGCTCCCAAGAGGCCCACGACAGGCCCCCCAGAGGCCCCAAAATTCCTCCCCAGAGGCCCCCGAGAGCCTTCCGAAGAGACCCCCAGAAGCATCCCTGATGGCTCTGGCCCATGTCAGCGTCGTCGTCGTCGTCGTCGCCGCCGCCGTTGTCGTTGTCGTCGAGGTCTCCATTTAGGGTCGGCGGCACTGGCGAGGGCAAGACTTGGATTCCGCCGCCGCGTCGGACGGCGGCGGCGCCGGCAGCGGCGAGCGACGCGTCTCCTGGCAGGGGCCTGACGTGCAGCTTCAGCACCGACGTCTCGGTGGTGCGCCCCTCGGCGGCGCGAGGAGGAGGAGAACCAGTGTAAACCCAAGAGTCACCAACGATGTTGGAATCAACCCTCCCTCCAAGCTCCCTCTTCATAGGCGCCTACAACGGTTGATTTCCATTGAAGGAACTGCCTCGTCGGAAGAAAGCCGTTTGAAAACCCTGAAGCATGCCAAACATTGTTCTCGGGATTTCAGCGCCACGGAACAACCTGACTGTTGCGTTCAGACGATCCCGAATCGTGCCAGAACGCCTTTCTCGGGACTTCAGCACCGCGAGCGAACGTGACTGTTCCACCCTCATAATGCAGAACCCTTCCAAAACACGAGTCTGGTATATTGATCATGGAAAGCCGTGGAACCTCTGCAAATGTTTAAGACGAGTGCGTACGGCGCTAAAGTGGGAGCCACATTTTGAAAAGAAACCGCCTTCAATCCGTCAAGCTCTTGCAACTGTTTAAAACGAATGCGCGCGGCGCTCAGCCGAGGGCTACTTTTTGAAAACGGTTCCCCCTCAATCCGTGAAGCTCTTGCAATTTTTAAGAAGCGAATGTCCGCGGCGCTAAGGCGAGAACCACATTTTGAAAACGAGCTCCCCTCAATCCGTGAAGCTCTTGCAAATGTCTAAAACGAATGTGCGCGGCGCTAAGGCGAGAGCCACATTTGAAAACGAGCCGCCCGCCATCTGTGAAACTCTGCCAATTTTTATGTTTCAGGGTCATATGCGGTGGGGGAATCTCAAGCGAAACGCCCGGCCCGCCCTAAAAACTGGCCTCGGGGTGAGACAGGGAAGAGTTGTCTATAAAGAAAAAGACCGGAGGAGGAGGAGGAGGAGGAGGAGGAGGAGGAGGAGGAGGAGGAGGAGGCTCACACCACAGGGTAACCTAAGGTCGAAACAGAAGGAGGATGAGGACAAACGCCACAGCTTCACGCTCAGGTGGGTCTGATAGGGTCTAACGTTAAAGGAGGAGGAGGAGGAGGACGAGAAGGAGGAGGAGGAGGAGGAGGAGGAGGAGGAGGAGGGAGGGGGGAGGGTCAGGCAAGCCGTTTCGTCCGTCGACCCAACCCTGCACGGCGGGAACTGGCACTCAAAGTGTCCCTATGGTCCGGGGGTCCGGCCAAACGCTGCCGGCGGCGGAGAAAAGGGGGGGAGCGGAGAGGAGGGGGGGGTCAAGCTCGCGTCATATCTGATGTCCTATCCTTCCCTCCCATCCCTTATCATGGCGTAGATATCCTCTCTATTCGCACAGCCGGATGTCGTAGCATGGCGTCGCACTTCATGAAATAGTATGGTGTTGAAGATCAACGCGTAGCATGAAAGAGCATGGCGCGGCGAGGCCCCAATGTGGGGGGGCTTCTGCGGCCCCAAAAATCAGCGAAGCGCCATCGAATGTGAAATCACATCCGATGGTTTTTTCGGGGGAACATTTTCTAGATTTTGGGGCCTGTTTGGAAGGACCGAAAACGATGCCGTGGCATGGCACTGGAAATAATGACGCCAGCGCCGCAGCGGGAGCACAATCTAGAACGAGCGGAATCGCGGAAGTCAGGCCAGCGCTGCAACGGGAGCGCGATTCGGAACGAGCGGAAACGCGGAAGTGAGGCCAGCGCGAGCACGATTCGGAACGAGCAGAAGCACGAAAATTAGGCCAGCGCTTCAGGGCTCTAGGGCAGGGCTACAGGGCACCTGGGTACCGGGGCACCTGGGCACCCAGGCACGCCCGGGCACCCGGGCACCCGGGCACCCCCGGGCACCCGGGCGTGCGGCGAAAATCAGCGGCAAACCTAACCTAAGCATACGAATCCGCTAAGACCCCTACAGAGGCAAGCTCTGATTGGGGAAAGAGGCGCCATGAAATCTGAGGAAACATCATGGCCCACGTCATGATATTCACCCCCCCTAGTCATCACCCCCCTCTCCGCCCCCGAAAAACCCAGGCGAAAACCCACTTCCCGGGAATCCTGTGTTGAAAACAATACGTGCGAGACCGGGGCAGCCTCTGGCGGCCCTCTCTGGCCCCGGAGCGGAGGCAGGCGGCGGAGCCCGGCGGGGCTCGGAGGGACGAGCGCGCCGTTTCTCGTGGGCCACCGCTCCGGTGGCCAAGTTGTCTCAAGCCGGCTCGAGCAAAGCCGGCAGCGGCGGAACAACAGAGGAAAAGGGGGGCGAGCGGGGCAGAGAGAGGCCATCGGAGAGCGGGCAGGGGAGATAATCCAGGGAAGTCGCATTCTTACGACACGAATCTCTCATCGTTGTAAATTTGTCCCCGCCGCACACTGACTCAAAAACAATTCCCAAAACGCAAATAAAGCAACACCTGGTTGGCGGGAGCGACCCGCAGATCTGAATCACGAACTTCTCTACCTCTAACTCAGCTTGCAGCTGACGCTGTCATTAAATGTCTTCAGCAACGCTGTGAAACACCGGCCTCGATGAGCCAAATCGGATAATCGTATTCCGAAAGGGGAAGGAAGAGGACATGCAACCACTGAAACGCGAGCGTGCAAACGTGCAACAGCCTCGGCGCAGCACAGAGAGCTTGGGGCAAGGGCAGAGAGGGGCCTGAGCTTCACTCACCAGGCGCGAGCACCTTTTGCTGGCGAGTTGCCGCCTCGATCGCGCGGCCCGGCTCGCTGCATCTCGAGCGTTCCTGGCGTGAACTTCCCGTCCTTCGTCAACTCTCGCACGCGCGCCTCCCAGCGCCCTCGGGCAACGCGCCTTGCAGTCTTCACCATCTCCTCTCGGAGCTCGAGACTTCTCGCGCTGCGCGTCAGCGCCTCTCGAAGATGGTCGGCCGGCATGTCCGTCGTCAACACATCGCTCAGCATGTTCGCGCCGTCCGCCCGCCTCACCATCGTCTGCGGGCGGCCCAGGATCTCCCTGATACTCGCCAGCTCCAGGTTCACCGACTTCTGCGCTGAGCTTCCAGCGCCCGCGTCCGAGTTGAGCCTGTCGTGGCCGTCCTTGCTGTCCGTCGCAACCGTCATGGGCATCTGCCAGCTGGACAGTTTCATACCAGCGCCTATTGCCCCGGGGCCGTGCATCATCTCTGCGATCTGATCGCGCACCCCCTGGGCCACGTCCACGGCGTCGCCCACGGCTATCACCTTCGCCGCGCAGGAACTCCTCGCTGCCCTGTTCAGCTTGTGACTCTTGCCCTCCAGCAGCGAGAGCCGGCCGACCCCGCCGCCCACGAGATCCCCATCAACGAACATGATGAGATAGCCGCTCTGAGCGCCGACCGTCCCCGTCGCCAGGCCTGACTGCAGCGCCGCGCCCTCGGCATCGCGTTGCCGAGCGAGCTGTCGGACACCGCCACCAAGCCAAACCATTGTAGGTCGATCGGCCACATCGCGATCTTGAGCGTCGAGTCGCGCTTCAGTTCCCTCAGCCCCTGGTTCGCCATGATTAAAGCCGATGCCCTCGGCCCGTTCTTGCAACCATTCTCGCGCTGCAGCGCCGCCGGGTCGTGCGAGCGGTCATCTCTGACCCGCGTGCAGAACGGATTCATCCAAAAACCTGTTCTCTCGCAGGGTCGCGCGGGCCGCTGCAAACAAACCGCTTCCCATTGGAAGGCTGCGGTTCGAATCTGCTGCGCATCGTCTGCGGCGCGTTTCTACGGGCTCGCCCCCCGCTTCCGCCGCCACTTGCGGCCCCCTCCCTTCCCCCATCCCCGCCCGCAAGCCCTCCTCATCCTGCTTCGCAATCGGGTTCACCGCTTCGCCCTCCGCCTGCCCGGCAAGGCACGGCGGGGTCGAATCGACGTCGGCGGCGCGCTGGATCGATCCCAGGGGCTCGTTGCCAGCGGGCGCCGCCGCCGATTTTGGCCACCGCAGAGAGGCGCAAATCGGGGAGGCCTTCTCCGCAATCCCCCCTCCCTCTTCCCCCTGGCCAAGCCGAAAACGGCCATGCGCGGCGACGCTCGCGCAGCGCCTGGAGGCGGCGGGAACCCAGAGACTCCGCGGACGGCGAGGAATCGCATGGCGATCGCAGAGGAGGAAGCACCGCCAGACTACCCGCCCACGCCAGCGGCGGGCGGCTGCACACAGCGCGCGAAAGTGCGGGGCAAAATTGCGCGCGCGAGGCGGACGGGGGAGCCGCTGCGCCAGCGAGGAAATTCCCAAACCGAAAACGGCAAAACGAGGCGACGCGCGCGCGCGCGACGCACGGGACTGGCGGGCGCACGCGGGCCCTGGGCCGGGGTGGCTCGCGAGGCGAAGACGGGGGGGCCCCGCCCCTCTCGGGCTTGCGGCAGGCGCGCGGCGACTGCGAGCCAAAGCGCGCGGCGGAATTGCGAGGACGACGCGCGCGGGGCAGTGCGCGGCGCCAAGTGGAAACTGGCCGAACCGCTAACAGTTAAACGCGGCGACGCCACGCGTCGCGCCTGGGGCTCGCAGAAGAGCCGCAGGCCCGCGCGTCCGGCGGACTTCGCGAAACGACGGCGGGGGGGGGGGCCGCCGAGCCACCTGTTCGGGCCAGCGGCGGGCGCGCCGAGACACGCCCTGATCGCGCCGCCTCCGTTATTCCGTTCGGGAACAATTGAATGTCATCGGGCCTCACGCACTTCACCATGCTGCGTCGTAGAGCAGTTTTCCGTCGTCGGTGTCGTCGTCGTCGTCGTCGTCGTCGTGGTCGCCGTCGTCGTGGTCCGTCGTCCGCCCGCCGTCCGTCTAAGGCAGCTGTCGCCGTTCCTCGCCCCCCACCCCGCCCCAATCTTTCGCCTCTTCCCCGCTACTCAGCAGAATCCGCGCAGGGTCCCAGGAGCATGGGGGTCCCCAAAGCAGCCTCACATCGTTCACGGCGTGGAGCTCCCATATGTGTATATCATACTCCTATCGTTTCTCGCTGAGAAGCTCTCTCTGCGAGCATATGTGAGAAACTATATGTACACCGTAGCTGCTAAGGGAGCACTGCGCAACAAGGAGGGGCGAGGGAGGAGGATGAAGAGGCGCGTGCCGCCGCGCGCGGAGGCTAAAGCGCGAGCGCGAGTGGCGCACGGCGTCCTGCGGTGGCCCACAGGCCTCCTCGCACGCAACAAAGGGCATCCAAAAACTGCACCTGGGAGCGCCCCGGCTTTCGTCCAAAAACTGCCCCCGGATGCCCCCGGATTTCATCCAAAACCTCCCCGTGGGGGGGGGCGGGATTTACCCAAAAACTTGCCCCTGGAGGCCCTGGAGGCCGCGGCAACGTCCGCCAACAAAAAATCCTAAAACTTTTCCAAGAACCGCATTCCATTTCCAACTCAAAAACTCACCAAATTTGTTTTACACATTGTTTCTTACAGAACAAATGATGTTTTGGATTTCCTTTTCCGGCGACGTTCCGGGGTGGTCCGTGTGCATGGGCCCGCGCGCGCCTCCTCTGGCGGCCTCCATCGGACCCCCGCCGGCCCCGTTTGTGGCGACCGCGCAGACGCAGAGGACATCGCCAGAGCCACTGACAGGCTGCCCAACGCTAGGCCGCCTGCTGCAGCGCCCGGAGGTTTCCTGGGGCCCCCTGAAGCCCCCTAAGGTATCCTAAAACCTCCGGGGGCCTCCTCGGGTTTCCTGGGGCCTCCTTGGGCCTCCTGGTGCCTCCAGTGGTTCCCTCAGGGTCCCTGAAGCCTCCTGGGTTTTTTCTATAGGGACCCGGGTAGCAGCGCAGTCCAAAGCGGGTGGAACGTCTGTCGGAGACGCGTTTCCAGGACGCTGCAAAGAATGCCTGGGGAACTATCAAGCTATCGAGAGGGACCTTCGCAGGAGACCCCAAGGAGCTGCGAGGGACACCCGAGGTCTCCCCCCACGACGCTACCGACCACGACAACGACAACGACGACCCGACGCCCCCTCCCGCGACGACGCGCCTCCCCACCACGACGCCCCTCCCCGCGAACCCCCCCCACGCTCTGCCCTCCCACGGCGACAACCTCGACGACTCAACGTCCTGCCCTACTCCCAGCCCCGTGCCCTGCCCCACTCCCAACCCGACGCCAGGCCCGACGACCACTCCACGCCCCACGCCTCACCCCGCGCAGTGGATGCAATCCGACCTGTGGGACCTCGAGGCCCGCTGGGCCCAACGCGTCCTCGCCATCGCCAGCACCGCCGCCAGCGCACGCACCAATGACTTCGCCGGCACTAGCGCCACCGACGACCAGATCCAGCATCTCCACGACGAGCGCCGACGTGTCAGTATGGCCCAGCAGCAACAGCTACAGAATATTCGCGAGACGGAGGCGGAACTCCAGGCGCTGGACCGCCCAGCGGCCGACCTGACGAACGCGACCCCACACCTGACGCTCCACCCGACCCCCCCTCCAACGCCCCTCCCGATCCCCCCCACGACGGGTGCGCTTCACCGACGCTCTGCCTGGCCCGCACTCTCGACGACGACGATGATGAGCCTCCCGTCAGCAGGCTCCCGTCAGCAGGTCTATTCGGCCCCTGCGACTCGCCGACGCGCCATAGACTGCACCAGCCAACCACCCACGCAGGGATGGATGGCTACCAAGGGCAGGGAACAGCTGCATCCTGCACCGACGGTCGCCGACGACCCCAGCCTAATGCTCGACCGAACCCGACCCCTCTTCCTTGCCCTTTCCGCCGCATGGGAAGCCAGCCCGTGACGCGGGCCGGATCCATTCCTGGATCGCCACCTTGACGCACTCATGCGAAGCCCTCCCCACCCCACCCTACTATTCCCCACGCACCCGACGACCTCCGCACGACCGCCCTTCCACGTCACCACCGCCGACGACAGCACTTCTGGGGAACGCCCACGCTCACCTCGGCAACAACAAGAACTGGACCAACAGCGTCGTGGACACGGCAGCCCTCCCACGTCTCCAACAATTTCGCTCCAACGACGGCACGACCACTACCCCGCTGGCTCCTACGTTCTCTACAACTCTCACCACTACGCCACACCTCCACTACGCACTCACTGCCACCACGGCAGCAGCAGCACCACAACGGCAACATCCTGTCCTACGGGTACCTCGCGAACCTGCACTTCATGAACTCCCTGCACGCCAGCCTCACCCACACCTGCCTCCTCTGGGGCACCTCCAGGCGCCTCCTAACCTACCCCTCCCTCACCTCTTCTTATTGCAGCCAGCCTCCCTCCCCCCACCTTTCGCCCACTGACCTCCTCCACCTCACCCCACCACCAGCCACTCGCGGGAGAAGGGGGGGGCACAACGGGGCGGGGATGGGGAAGGAGCCGTGCTTGGCACAGGCCTCCAGGCGAAGGTACAGCCTCCCCTGAAGACCGTGGGTTGGGCCTGGCGGGTGCACGCACTTAAGAAGCAAGGCCGAAGGGGCCACCACTGCCCCGCATCGGAGGGTGGTGACTCCGCTCAAGCCATCCCCGCTCCTCCCCTGTCCTCTCGACTCCCGCCTTTCGCGCTTTCCCTCCTCCTCGCACAGCCGCTCTCACCGCGCCTCTCTCAGCTTAGCGCCCACGCCCTATCCTCCCCCCCACCAACACGGCCAACTCCTGCTGCGTGCCGCCGCGTCGCGCACACTCTCTCCCCGCACATTTTGACCGGGGTGATTGGAGGACGGCCCCCACCCAATCAAGCAGAGGTGAGCCGAGGTGGGCCTCTCCCTCCACCAATGGAGGGTGGGGCCCAATCTCGGTCCATCATCTCTGTGCCCGCACAGCGCCGGAGCTTAGCTATGCCCCTTCCTCCTCCCTCCTCCATGGTCCAAGGTATCCGGCCTCCTTCTCGCTTATCTCTCTCTCTCTCTCCCTCTTGGTCTTCCCCTCCCGCCGGCTCACCTGCGGGAGGGTCGAGGGCACGACCTTTCATCAGGAGAACCGTCCGCATCACCGAGTCACCGACGAGGGAGGAGCAGGAGGGGAGGAGGGAGGGATGGCGGAGAAGTGGAGGAAGGAGGAAGGGAGGGCGAGGAGGGAGCAGAGCGAGGCAGGGATGAGGGGGGAAAGCAGCACGGGGAGGACGCGCACCGGTTTTCAGCACAGTGCCTCTTCCTCGCCCTGCCTGGGGCTGCAAGGGGGCCCCCCCGCCCCTCCGAGGGCGCCCCGCGCTCGGGCACCACGAACTTCTCCGGGGTGAACGCCAGGTGCTGCCCCGTGTGGGTCTCCTGCTTCCCCGAGGGGGGGGAGGACGGGAGGGGAGGACGGCGCGGACGACCGCGGAGGCCTGTGCTCGTGCCGCTCCTCCCCCCTCCAGCCTGGGGCGCTCGGCCCAGTCGCTCTGCGCTGCGGGCGCCGCGGAAGCCCCGGGCGCCGAGGCGCCGGCGGGGCTCGAGGCGCTGCGGAGGGTCTTGCGGGCGTGGGGCGGCGCGGGCTCTCCGCGGTGCGGGCCTGCGCCGAGCGGGGCGCGCCGCGGCGCCCGCCCCCCCACCCTGCAAAACGACGCCTCGGACAACAAGACAGCAGCGCCTCGGTTCGAGGCTCGAGGTCCAGGGTTTTCGGACGTTTTCGTCGGTTCTCGGCGGTTCTCTAGCCTCGGGATGCATGCAGCGGTATTCTCCAGCGCCGGGAGCACGCAGCAAGGAGCGCGACTGGCGGCGGGGCCGAGACCAGCTGCACTCAACTTTTGCTTCGTAGCCTTTGCTTCTCGGGCGCACGTCAGCATGGATGGCGGATCCGTGGATGTGGCGCGTGGGCGCCAAATCCACGGACCGGGCAAGGCACACCCATAAACAAGAGGCCAGTTCCGCTCCATTGGGCGACGGAGCGCGTCGACTGTGTAGTTATGGGAACGGTCCCCCTCGTTAGTCCACGCGCCCTGATCAAGTTCTCGCTTGCTCTGCATTCCGCGAGCCCCCTTTCGGCCCCTACCCACCGAGCGAGATGGGAGGGGGCGCAGGGAGGCGAAGAGCTGTTGGAACGGCCTTCCAGGCAACTCGCGCACCGTCGCGGGCAGATCGGCGCCCGGCTAGGTCTCCCAGGGGCGAACGTCGGCTCGAGATCCCAAGGGAAAGCCGCAAGGGGGCATGACACGGGACCCTTCGAGCACATAACGTTTGCCTGCCCTGGGAACATTCGGCGGCGCGTTTCGAACCGGGGGATGGGCCCCCCCACCCCCGCGCAACACTCGGCGCCGTCGATCAGAACCAGGGGGACTTCCCTCCCCCATAATCCCCCCCCCTCCCGAATCCCCCCAGAGGGGGGGGTCCAAAACCCCCCCAACCCCCCTGGCGGCGCCGGCGCTGGCGGCCGCCGCAGCGCCAACGCAGCGACGATGACCAGAGAAAGCCCAGGAGGGGGTGGGGGAGGTACAACCCCCACCCCAACCCGCGCCGGCGCCGGCGCCAGGGCTGGAGGCGGCCAGCAGCGCCGACGGCGGGGACGCAGGAACGATGACCAGAGAGGGCGAGGCCGCAGATGGAACACACAAATCGCCATATCGAGCCCCCGCATGCTCCGCAGACGCCCCCGAGACCTTTCTGACGAGACCTCAAGAGGCATCCATTAGAACTCTGGCCCTTTGCAAAAACACAGTGGCGGGAAGAGCCGAAGGCCACACCACCACCACCACCGCCACCGCCACGACCACCACCACCACAAACCACCACAACCACCACCACAACCACCACAATCCACCATCACCACAAGCACCACCATCACCACAAACCACCTCACCACCACCAAAAACGCCACCACCACCAGCACCACCACAACCCCCCACAACCCACCACAACCCACCACAACCAGCACCACCACAAACCACCACACCATTACCACCACCATCACCACCACCGCCACAACCACCACCATCACCACAGCCCACCACCAACACCACCACCACAAACCACCACACCACCACCACAACCACCACCACCACCACCACCACTACCACCACCCACCACCCACCACCCACCACCCACCACCCACCACCCACCACCACCAGCACCACTACCAGCAGCAGCAGCACCACCACCACCAACACCACAAACCACCACCACCACCTCCACAAACCACCACGCCACCACCACCACCAACACCACCACCACGACCACCACACAACCACCACCACCACAGCCACCACCACCACCACAACAGCTCACCACCACCACCACCACTACCACCACCAATACAACAACCCACCACCACTACCACCACCATCACCACAATCCATCACACCCCCACCACCACCGCCACAACCACCACCACTACTACCAGCAGCACAACCCACCACCACCACCACCACCACCACAACCACCACAAACCACCTCACCACCACCACCACCGCCACTACCACCACCACCAGCAGCACCCCCACCGCTACCGCCAGCCGCCGCCGACGCGGGCGCCGGCCCGAAGAGACGGAGAGAGGAGAAGTAAGGGGTGGGGGTGTTCGACACCCCCCCTCCGTCACGGGAGGGTTGGAGGGGGGGATCGAACCCTCCCCCCCTCCATCCAGGGGGAGGGGGGTGGTTTGGTTCCAACACCCCTTCCCCCCTCCAAAACGCGCTCGTTCTAACGTTTAGACCGCTAAAGCAGAATTCGCCGGCCCAACGGGCCAAAGGCGTGCTAAGATCTCCAGTAACAGGTTAACAATATTTCTAGTTCGCGCGCGCGTGGCGGCCCCTGGGGACCCCTGGACGAAAAGTACCCCGCGCGATGCCCGGCCGATGCCCGGCCGACCCCCCCGGGGCGCTCCAGGAGCGCGCCAAGAGGGCGCCAGGACGCCCCCTACACGGCCAAAGAGGCCCCGAGTCGCCGAAAGATCGCTCCAAGACGCTCAAGATGGTCTCCAGATGGCCCCAGAGGCCGCAAAAAAGCCCTAAGAGAGCCTCAACAGGCTCTCCAAGAGGGCCCCAACCAGCAAAACTCGCCCAACTCCCATCGGAGAACGTATTTTTGTTGCATGTGCAGCGTTTCTCGTCTGTTCGGCTTTCAAACGCTCCAAGACGGCCCAAGAGGCCCCCAAGACCGCCCCAAGACGGCTCAAGAAGCCTCCAAGAGGCCCCCAAGACGGCCCAAGATGGCCCCAAGACAGCACAAGAGGCGCCCAAGATGGTCCAAGAGGGTCCCCAAACGGCACAGAGGCCCAAGACGGGGACCAGGAAAGAAGCCCCCAGGAGGCCCCCAAGAGGCCCCCAAGAGGCCCCCAAGAGGCCCCCCCAGAAGCCCCAAGAGGCCCCGAAAGACCTCATGTACTGAGGTGCGTCAGTCATTACTGAATTAGGCCACCCACCCACCCCGCCCACCGCCGCCCTAGCGGCGATAGGAGAGCAGAGAGCTCGGGCGGAAACTTAAGACGCTAGGACGAGGGTGGCGGTGACAAACCGAGAGGGAGCAGCATACGGTAAACTAACTCAAAACGGTCGGTGATGCAATCTCATTTGTTCCCGGCGGAGCCGGGTGAATGTCAGTGCCCGCCGATAACTGACTGATTGACTGACTGACTGACTGAACGTCAGGAAAGCACGTCTGACAACACATTTCAAACCGCCCGCGGAAGCGCGCAACCGCAACCAAACGACACATTTCAACCCGTCCGCGCAACCGCAGCCGCAACAAAACGACACATTTCAACCCGCCCGCGCAACCGCAACAACAACCGCAACCAGGCGACACATTCCAACCCGCAGTGTCAACAACGCAGTGTCAACAGCGCAGTGGCAACAGCGCAGTGTCAACAGCGCAGTGGCAACAGCGCAGTGTCAACAACGCAGTGGCAACAACGCAGTGTCAACAACGCAGAGTCAACAGCGCAGTGTCAACAGCGCAGTGGCAACAGCGCAGAGTCAACAGCGCAGAGTCAACAGCGCAGTGTCAACAGCGCAGTGTCAACAGCGCAGTGGCAACAGCGCAGAGTCAACAGCGCAGTGTCAACAGCGCAGTGTCAACAGCGCAGTGGCAACAGCGCAGTGTCAACAACGCAGTGTCAACAGCGCAGTGTCAACAACGCAGTGTCAACAGCGCAGTGTCAATTCACTCATTTAACGCAGTGTCAACAACGCAGTGTCAATTCACCGTTAAGAGCTCCCTTTAGGCGACACATGTCAACCCGTCCGCGCAACCGCAACCGCAAAAACAACCAAACGTCAAATTTCAATCCGCCCGCGCAGTCTCAACCTGGCCGCGCAACCGCAACCGCAACCGCAACTAGGCGACACATTTCAACCCGCCCGCGCAACCGCAACCGCAACCGCAACCAAGCGACACATTTCAACCCGCCCGCGCAACCGCAACAACCGCAACCAAGCGACACATCCCAACCCGTCCGCGCAACCGCAGACGCAAAAGCAACCAAACGAGGAATTTCAACCCGCCTGCACAATCTCGACCCGGCCGCGCAACCGCAACCGCAACCGCAACCAGGCGACATATTTCAACGCGCCCGCGCACACGCAACCCCAAAAGCAACCAGGCGAGGAATTTCAACCCGCCCGCGCATGCGCCACCAAACTGCAACCAAGCGACACATTTCAACCTGGCCGCGCAACCGCAACTGCAACCGCAACCAGGCGACACAATTCGACCCGCCCGCGCGAGCAACGGCAACGGCAAACCAGCGACACATTTCAACCCGCCCACGCAAATTCAAACCCGCCCGCGCAACCGCAACCGCAACCGTAACCAGGCGACACACGTCAACTCGTCCGCGCATCCGCAACCGCAACCAAGCGACACATTTCAACCCGCCCGCGCAACCGCAACCGCGTTGGCAACCAAGCGACAACCACAACCAACCCGCGCAGCCGCAACCGCAACCAACCCGCGCAACCGCAACCGCAACCGCAACCAAGCGACACATTTCAACCCGCCCGCGCAACCGCAACCGCAACCGCAACCGCAACCAAGCGACACATGTCAACCCGCCCGCGCAACCGCCCGCAACAGGCGACACAATTTTACCCGCCCGCGCAACCGCAATCGCAACCAAGCGATGCGTTTCAGCCGGGCCGCGAGCGCGCGCAACCGCAACCGCCCGTCGCCGGCGCATGCTCGGCGTCCCCACCGCGCGTCCGAGGCGTCCGCCCTGCGGCTCTCTTGGGCTGCGCGAGAGGGGCGGGGAGGACGAAGAGGACGCTGAGCAGGACTAGGGGGGGGAGGAGGAGGAGGAGGAGGAGGAGGAGGAGGAGGAGGAGGAGGAGGAGGAGGAGGAGGAGGAGAAGGAGGAGGA